AGTTAAATCGAAATACATATGTTATCGCGGAGTTTCGTTGAAAAAAAAAAAAAGATATTATCTTAAAAGGCGCGGAGTTATCGAGAAAATCGCTCGATATTTAAATCTAAATCACGTCTCTGAACCGTAAGCTAATTATAATGATTTTATAAGTTACGATCGAATTTAATATGTATTACACAGTTGAAATATGATCGCGTGTAATTCGATGACTTACGCAAACTAGACGCGCACGTGGTCATGTAAGACGAGATGACTGGGAGATAACGATCCTTTTTATTCGGAAAAACTGAGCCTGAAAGTTCTCTGAATGCTATCTATACGGCAGCAACAGCAACGCTATTCTAGGCGACAAAGTGAATACATTTATACGAAACTCTACGTAGTAAGTATCAACTACTTATCCACGTGCACATGTAACGTGTGACATATATTAATGTATGTGCTTCAATGTGAGTGCGTCCCGCGATAAAATAAAAAATTCTAAGAACCAGTGGTAAGTGGTTGTGGGCAAACGGGATACTCCCATGACATTTGTAATATTTCTGGTAAAAAGAGAAAAAAAGAGAACAAAAGAATATAACATTAATAAGGCTTCTAGGCTTCGCAGCTATATTAAATTATGATGTTAGAAACGGGAAAAATATTCGAGATTTATTTTCTGTAGTTGAACCTCCTGCACTATATTAAAAATAAGATATATTTAGAAGTTGGAAAAGAAGAGAGGAAAAATAAAAAATGCAAGAAGTTCAGCTGCAAAGAATAAATCTCTGATTTTTATTCTTGCGAATTATATCAAAATAAGTAAGTTTTTTTGAATACGATTATTCGTGTTTACAATAATACGAATTGATAAAATATATCGAAAACTTTTTTCTTGATTGATAAACTAATAAATATAAATTAATGAATAATAATTAGAAATTGTAAATCTTGGTCAATTGTTGTGACATTCATTTTCGCTGAAAAATTGAACGTTCAAAGAAACTTATTTATATCGATATATTTCGCAACAATAAAATGTAATTTCTCACTTCTGACGTCATAATTCAATATGACTGTAATTAAGAGACAGAAACTTTAAGCTGTCATTAGTACATATTTAAATGTGAGTGACAGATGAAAAATCTAAATTGGAGTAGATATTTGCTAATATATACACATAAATGATTTTATTAAATTTAAACTTTCCATATAAAGTGTTAATGTCTCATATAAATATCAATTTAATAATTTCACGTGTGAAAAATAAAGCATTTCTAAAAGTTCGAGGAAGGACATGAAATTAAAAAACCTCCAAACTGTCAGTGAACAAGCAATGTGCTTATACAACAGTTTTTATATATAAATAGAAGACCTGGGAGATAAAATTCTTTCGTTATTTAGTGTTAATTACATTATCAGTAAATTATAATCATGACAGGAAAGTAACATAGACCTGCCTAAACGTAAGCTAACGCAGTAAGCATGCTCGATATATCATCAATATTTGCGATAATTTTCATACACATATTTGCCTTTCCCATCCTATAATAAACACGCTATCAAATAGTGCACGAAACGTTCATTAATGATTCGTTTCGTCCTTCTAATAAAAAACCGTTGCGATCCCGAATCGAACGCGATCAAACGGCACTCGCACACGAATGTCGATAAGGCGTCCCCGATAATGACTACACAATTTGCACCTATCGGACCGGTTGACGCAAAACGCAGCAATAAAACATGGCCGAAGTTCACAAACGATGATCAACTCGCTCGCTCGCACAGCGTGCACGCGCGTGCTCGCCCGTTCCACGCCTCTTCGTACGCTTCGCCTCTCGACGGGACGGGACGGGATGGGACGGCGGGGAGGAGAGAGACGTGGACGCGTCGCGTCGTACCGTCGGAGAGATGACGTCAACCCCGTTTTTCCATTTTTTCCGAGAAATTCAGTCGAACACCGTATAATATCGAGCAAAAATATAGCAACGCAGGAAGGAAATCAAATTTATCGAGCAATGGGGGGGAAGGGGGAGGGGGAGGGGGAGTCCGACGGACATAATTTGTCAATCTTCTTTTGACTCGATTTATAAATTATGTAATGGTTTAATATAACTGATTATTCTTTGCAAAAAAAGAGTAAGGATATTTTTTGTATTTTTCACTAGAGTGAAAAAATGATTTTAAATGATTTAAAAAATTGAAATCTAAATTTTTGAAAGAATCTCGAGATTTTTTTAGTAAATGAGTGAGCGACAGATAAATAAAAAATAATACACGTTCGATTTATCTTTTACATTCTTTTCGATTTAGTTATCTACACCGTTCGTCTTTTTACCCATTTACATAAGCATAGAATATAGGAATAGAATAATGAGAGAGAGAGAGAGAGAATCTTGCGTAGAGTGTTTCAAAGTTATAATCTCTTCAGTCGTGGATGTTTTTCAACATATTTGGAAAACTGACATTTCCTTTCGAGATAGGTCGTGGTTTAATCGGGAACGAACGCGATGTCATCACTCGACTGTGAAATATCCGTTAACATTGTTACGTGTTGAATCACGACCGCAGCATGATCGGATGGATTAATTCTGCGATTCGAGAATGACGCGAATTAATATCCGAGGCCGACAGTAATTGCCGGACCAAACGAAATAAAATTCTCCGTTTACGTCAGACATTAGACGCATCGAAAACTTCGGGAAAAATGTGACAGATTCGATTGTAAACTTTATTGCTACGACATTGTATTGTATTGACCCAAGCACATGATTTTATCTTACTCTATATCCGGTAAACGACAAATACATATTACGTGTTGCAATTAGTCTCGTGTTCGTCAAAATATATATTATATATATTGATCACAACTCAAAATATACTTATCATCGTTTAAAAGTCAGTTTACTTTTTGTAATAACAGCGGATGAATAACAATGGCCAAAAAAAATCATTTACGAATCAGTAGGTATACGAATATTTAGCGAATAAGAATTTGTGTATTAGAATTAGCATATTATTAGTTTTAATTGTTCAATATTTAATGGGAATGAATTATATTATTTATGAAATTATATTATTTATTTATATTAATTAATAATAAATCAAACAATATATTTTATTATAATGTTTGTTATTTTTTATTCAAAAGTTTATATTCAAGGATATATATTATGGTTGGAGAGGTGAAACGATAAAAACAGTAAAAATTTCAAGCATTTCGAGCGACCAAACAAAAAATCGAGATCTATCCAATTCGATAAAAATGTGCTATCCAAATGTCCTTCGCGTCAAGATTTCTCGTTCGGAGAGTTGGAAAGGCGGTGTCACTCGGGACGCGATTAGAAGTTACGGGAATACTCGGCGGACTGTATATATCGTCGAAAAGCCATGGTCGTGTCCACTCGCTACGAAATCGAGGGAGTAACGAAAATCGTCCTCGATGGCGGTGGCGGCGGCGGCGGCGGCAGCGACGGGGACGAGACGCCAGAGTTCGTCGGCCGCGCCACGCCGTGTACACACGTCCATGAAGCGCACGCACACACGCGTAAAGCGAGCGAGCGAGCGACGTTATCCGAAAACGTAAACGCGAACGATCGACTTTTCTCCATCGCGTACGAACGAGCACGAGTTATCCACGAGTCCGCCTTTATATAAAACGACGCCGTTCGGACGCGTCCACTCACCTGAATCGCCATACACATTGAATATGGAAGCTACGGTAGGGCGTTCGTTAGCGAAACCGCGACCTCCGTAGGTGACAGGAAACACGCCGAACACTTGCCACTCGCGCACGTCCGAACACTAGAGAAGCCCGTGAACAACTGACAACCGAGATGGTCGGACGGAGAGACGGACGAGTTCGGGCGGAAATGGCCGAAGGTACTCGACTCGGCGACTCGCTGCGCGAAATGGATGGCGCGAAATTTCAAATGTGGCTACGCGCGCGCGCGCGTAAAAGGGGATAATTAAAGAGAAAAGTTATTATTATTTATTTTCACGTAATAAAGCTATGAATAAATATAAATATCAACAAGGTAGTAAGTTAAATAGTTAAAAGTTAATTTCAAAAGTTGAAAAGTTAATAATTTTTAACTTAACTTAGTTGATTTTAAAAGTGTTAATTTAAACTAGTTATTTTTTAATGCATTAACGTTAACTTATTAACTTTTTATGTAAACTTAATTAATTTTTGGGCCATTAACTTTAAACTTAACTTGATTAAAACAAAAATTAACTTACCCAACCTTGAATATCAATATATATATATATCGAAAGAAATGAATATTTATAAAATATAAGACACTTTTTTCAAAAACACGTGAGTTAATTGCTTTTCTCTAAAATTTGTAATACGTTATATACGCGCGCGTATTATCACGAAAAAATGAGACAGATATTGTCAAAAGTTAATCTATATATAAATCAAAATAAATAGTTTTCGAAACATTTATTTATTGTTATACATTGTTTGTTTGCATGTGCCTTATATTTCAGAAAAAAATAGGCTTGAATAAATCGAGTAAAAGGCGATCTCAATCATTGCGAATATTATATCTCTATTTCTTTGAGTCGAAACAAAAGTTTCATTATAAAAATCGCAATTTTCTTCGGACTCGATCGACTATCGGCTTTTCCTGCGCCCTGTGTATGCAAGAACCATTTTCATTTAAATAGTATTTTGGAAAAAAAATCTAAAATCTCAATTTTTTCCTTACAAGAAGAGAACGAAATTTAGAACGAGCTGTAAATTTCGTTGATGCAAATACGATCTTTATATGCATCTTTTAAATTTCTCTGATATTAGAATTACATTATAAAAATTTCTGTTAATTAGTAACAAGTGCGCTTTTACTAAACTTTTTTGTGAGAATATACCTATATACATATATATATATATATATACCGATTGGAAAACAGCTTTGGTATATGATTAAATTACTGTAATTTTCTCTTTACATGTGTATAAGATAAAAAAAGAGGAGTGGGAAGGAGATACAAAGAGAAAAAGATAGAGAGAGTTATTTATAATCTTTCTATTTTAAGGCAAATCCCAATTTGCGATATTTTCATTTCTATGTTTTAAAGCAAAAAGGAATTCTCTGGATTTAAATGTTCAAACGTTTCGCACTGTTTATATTCTTTACTTTTAATATTCCTCGCCACGTATCCTATGTCGCTTTACAATCAATATTTAATAAAAATCGTATTAATTCATACAATTATAATTATCGAAGATGATTCATCAAAGAGAAGTGTAAATAATATTTATTTTATACCTTGACCTTTCTCTTGTTCTTCACTACCGTATCTCGAGTAATCGCGTATTGCTTTCACACAAATGTGACAGAGAATTAATTAGTTTGTATCATTAATACTAATCATAACATTATATACTTCGCTCATATATTATGGTCCCTACAAAAAATACATTATCTATATAAGCAGCTTACAATTATAGTTATAATCATATGTACATAACAAGTTTTTTTAATTGAATGTATGTATGGATGTGTACATACTACAAACTTTAGTAAATACTCGATCATTCACTTGTTAATCATTCATTGTTAAGACACAGTCGTGCACACACACATACTTGCGCGCGCGCAGAGATACATCCTTATAAAATGATTTATTTTATTTACCGTCGCTTCGGAATGTTTTATGCAGGAATCTTACTGATTGTAACAAAAAAAGGATTAAACCAAAAAAAAAAAAATGCTTGTAAAATTAAGAATATAGAGCGATAGTATCGTAGCAATAATGGTGGTAATATGTAATAATCATAGTATTTATAATATTAATAATAATATAATAGTGTGATAATAATGGTAATAATAATAGCAGTACAATATGATAATCGTAAAACTAACGTTGATCGTGAGGTTAAAGGAAAAAATAATTACGAAAATTCAAACTGTGACGGGACAGTCAAAAATCCAGTAATCATAGGAATTATTAGTATCGCATCATTATCTAAAAACATCAATGTAAAAAGGAGAAAAATTCTTACAAAAGTATTTAAGTGTAATATTATTATAAGTCTATAAATATAAATTACGCATAAATTATAAATTACATTTGCGAATCGATATATCCTTTAAAATTAATTACACGCCCCGTGTCATCATCTTTCTCATTTCATATGCATAGAAATATCGTTTTATCATGGCAACCTCACATATAAGTTTATGTTGTGATGTAATTCTTCTTTCAGATTTTCTGAATATAAATCATCAACTATTTATAGTATAGTTCCTTGGGATAAGATCTGGTGCTGATCCGCATCCCTTCCTATCGGCATATTAATTGAATTAAATTTGATTTAATATGTGTATTTTTTCCCTCTATTCACAGCACTTGGTATTATTCTCTACAGTCTTCTTCAAAGATTACCGTTCGGAAGAAGTTTATATCACAAAGTAGATATATATAAGTGTTTAATTAATATTATATATATATATATATATATATATATATATATTTATATATATATTGTTATATTCTATATCAGATCGTACTTCGATCGAAGGCTCGCGATGCATTCTCGCGCTTGTCTCGGGAAATCGGCCAAGATCGTCATGGGATCGCAGCTGAATACGCGACCGCGAAGGAGTTCGCTCTCGAGGTCTTTCGATCCCCAATAAGGAAACGTGTCTCACGGTCCTAAGCTGTTCTCGCGAGCTCTCTT